GTGGGGGATCAAACCCGGTTCTCACAGATTAGAGTCCGCGCACTTAACCACAACACCAAAGGAAGGAAGGAAGGAAGGAAGGAAGGAAGGAAGGAAGGAAGGAAGGAAGGAAGGAAGGAAATCCAATGACCAGAAAAGCTAAAACCATGACACTTTGAAACATAAACTTTATTGCAACAAAGAATTAAAAATAGCACATCAGAGTGACTAACCAAGGTGGGGTGGGCGAGTGTGAGTGTGTCATGGAGAATTAGTCAAAAACCACACACTCAAGGAAACTGTGTACAATTGAAACAGAATGTTTTATTAAAACAACTCCAAATCAAACCAAAACTTTTTTTCGTGTGTCTTTTTTTTTTCATTTTACCTTAACAGTGTTATTATATATTACAGTCCTCAGCTCCTGACGTGAAGGGGGCTGGGGGGGGGAGAAGAGAGAGACTTGAGGTGGGGGTAGAAGGGGGGAAAGGAAGAAATCTCAAAAGCTAACAGGACGTGAACGTTTTCCAGAAGAAATTCTTGCATCCGGCTTTGCGTTCTCTGGGCGCCAGCGCCGGGTTCAAGTTGGCCGATCTTTCCAGCTCCAGCCGAACTTCGTCTTGCTCGGCACCGCGAGACACGTCGTCGGACTCCAAGGCTTCATTTTCTGCCTGGTTCGGTTCTGAGAGAAGTTCTGCTAGGAAATACTTGGCCAGTTCCTTCAGAGAAAAAGAAAATCTCTCGTCAAAACTTATTTGATTTTGGCAGTGGGGCAGGAAAGGGTACATTCCACTGGACCAATGACACCTGATCTTGACATTCATTTAGAGAGACGGCCTCGCGTGGTTCTTAAGAGTGTCAGACTACTATTTGAGAGGCCTGAGTTTGAATCCCCACTCTGCCATGGAAGCTTGCTGGGTGACCTTGGGCCAGTTACGCTCTCTCAGCCTAATCTACCTCACAGGGTGGTTGTAGAAAAGAACAAGAGTCCAGGAGCACCTTAAAGATTAAAAAAAATGTGGCAGGGTAGTAGCTGTTGTGAGTCACTGTTCATTTATTCGGATGGGCAATTTCCGTGAGGATAAAAGGGAAGAGAGGAGAACAGCTACAAATGAATTAAATAAATAAATGTAGTCTAGAGTCAAAAGGCGGATGAGGGTCTAAGAGGTTAACCCATTCCAGGTCTCCATCTTGGAGCAAGATATATCAGAAATGTCCCTGACAGATTCTTGGCCATTTTTTTCCAAGAAAATCTGCAAGATAGGCGTCTGCAAGATGCTCTGTTTGTCTGGGGCAGCGATGCTCTGTCTTCTTGGTGCTTGGGGGGGCACAGTGGGAGGGCTTCTGGAGTTCTGGCCCCACTGGTGGACCTCCAGATGGCCCCTGGGTTTTGGCCACTGTGTGACACAGAGCATTGGACTGGATGGGCCATTGGCCTGATCCAACATGGCTTCTTTTATGTTCTTATGTCTGGGTCAGTGATACTCTGTATTTCTTGGTGCTTGGGGGGCAAGAGTGGGAGGGCTTCTGGAGTTCTGGCCCCGCTGGTGGACCTCCAGGGGCCCCCTGGGTTTTGGCCACTGTGTGACACAGAGTGTTGGACTGGATGGACCACTGGCCCGACCCAACATGGCTTCTCAGCTTTAAGAGGAGATTGGATCAACATATGGAGCAGAGGTCCATGAGTGGCTATTAGCCACAAGGTACAGATGGAAGACTCTGTCTGGGGCAAGGGATGCTCTGTATTCTTGGTGCTTGGGGGGCAGGAGTGGGGGGGGGCTTCTGGAGTTCTGACCCCACTGGTGGACCTCCTGATGAAACCTGGGTTTTGGATACTCTGTGATACAGAGTGTTGGACTGGAGGGAACATTGGCCTGATCCAACATGGCTTGTCTTATGGTCATATGTTCGGACAGGAGACACTACCACCTCTTAAGTCCTTCACAAAACACATTTGATGAGGGTCGCATCAAATGTGTGAATGGGCCACTCAGAGAAAGCACCAGATAGAACTTTCATCGCTGTAGCCTCAGACTCAGCGCTTTCCAGTGGAGTCTGTTAGGAACATAACAATGGCTGAGGAACATCTGGGAAAACCTAAAGAACAGCAATCCCACCATCAAACGAATTTGGAGATATGTAGCCTCTGAATGCGGACATCTGGTTTAGATTTCATGGCAAGCACTGATAGACCTAGAATCATGTCCAGGAGGGACCTTAGGGACCAACAAGATTTCTGGCATATAAGCTTTCAGGAGGTGAAACTCCCTTCATCAGATACAAGGTGTCTGACTCTCGATAGCTTATACCTCTAAAATCTTGTTGGTGTCTAAGGTACTACTGGACTCAAATCTGGCTCTTCTAATGCAGACCAGCATGGTCGTCCTCTGAAACCGATAGAACCGTGTCTAGTTCACATATCATGATGGGCGGGGGAGCTGATGGGCTGCTTCTATTGTTCTGGGCTAAAACTACCTGTCTAGAGTACCCCTGAAAACTGGATTTGTATCACAAAGCCAAGAGCCCGTATTCCCCAAGCCCACCCAACACTTTGGCTTGCAGCAGGCTGTTGAACATGAACTGTTCTTACGGAAATGGTATGTGAACCCACATAGTATCTTCATGAAGGTTATAAATTGTGATGTGATTATGTGAGCTGTACATGGAGACGTGAGTGCATGTGACCTGGCTGTTATTCTGCCGGTATTCCTCCCTAGGGATTTAGATCACAGCAAGAGGCCCTCCTGTCTGTCTCATCAATCAAAGAAGCTCACTTGCTGGGTACACAGGACAGGGCCTTTTCAGTGTCAGCCCCACAATGACAGAGCAGCCTCCCCAGGGAGGTATGCCTGGCTGCCTCACTTTCTATTGTTAGGAGGCAGTCGAAGACAGTTTTATTGCGGACCACATTTGGTTACATTGACTAGCAGTCCTGAATTGTGATTTTAAATTTTGGGATTTATTTTTTTTAATGTCTTTTAGTCTATGTATCTTATCTACGTTGTAAACTGCCTTGAGCTCCATCATGAAGATATGAGGCTAATAAATGTTTAGGATAAATAAATAAATAAAATAAATAAATAAATAAATAATAAAATCACATGCAGTGTTGCAAACGGTTATACCCCGAATCCAGTTAAGACCACAGAAGGTTATTTGCTGTTTTTGGATCGTTTGTTATTATTTGAGGTTTGAAATGTCTCTTTTTTAAAAAAATTTTTAAAGGACCGTATAAAACAGGTCAATCAATATGTTACAAGCAGCACAGAGGCCCAAAAACAAGCTTAGAAATCATTTCAAAATAAAAACCAAGAAGATGTCTTCACATATTGTATAGATAGATAGATAGATAGATAGATAGATAGATAGATAGATAGATAGATAGATAGATAGATAGATAGATAGATAGATAGGT